TCCTTGACGAAGGAGTCAGCGCTCGCCAACAGCTCCCTGGCCTGCTCACACCTGCGCGGACATGGTTTGGCTTCTTGCCTGGTTCTACATTACAACTTCCCTCGCATCCTGCAGCATGTCAGGCGAAAGGAACTACTTGTGGCAAGGAATCTCGGACATCGGTGATTGATGGGACAACGCCCAACTCAAACATGATTGCAGGCGCCATTGCGCAGGCACGGAAATGCAACCCTGACCCAAACTTGCCCCGACAAGCTTGCTCAAAGGCCCAGCTCCTCCAAATACACCAACATATGGTAACAACCTGGGTATGCGATGTGATGGTGGCGGGTGTGCGTGGTGGTGTGATGGTGGCAACAGCAAGCCTTCAGCGAAGTAAAACGAAGGCGCTCTAATCAGAGGATCTGCGTTGCGTTTGTCTGCCGGGACTTGAGGCAGCCCTGACCCAATACTGTCGGGGTCAAGTTGTGATTTGGGTTTGCCGTTTCCTCCTCTTCTTCTCTGCAGTACCAGTTGATCATAAGGACGCGCGGTAAGGATTTAGACGCAGCCAGCCACAAGGATACCCTGAGAGGCTGGCCAACGAAAACGGCTAAGGAAGGGCCGGAGAGACACGGACGCAAGGGAACCCTTGGGAAACCGCGTGTCCTTATCATGCGGGTTGGCTGTGCTCCGGCTTCTTATGTCCCTCTCTGTTTCGTCAGACGCACACACGGTTAGCGACATTCCCTTAACGTCATCCGCCTATCCCCAAAACCCAGCCCCAACGACCCCTGCCGATCTCCTGACGTAGACGATCTTATCCCCCTGCCCCGAAATTTCCAAGAAAGCACAAAGGAAGCTTGAGACAATCAGAGAGCACCTCACTGGTCCGAGACTACTTCCACCTGTCATTGTTGAGAAGTGTGCTCAAACAATGTGATTATTTCAACTTCACCCACTGTCGGCAGAAAGCGGCGACGCTACCCGGCCCACACAAAGTAAGCCCGATAAGACATGTTTTCGTTGTCGGATATGCGCCCCCGAAGAATCGTATCATCCGGACCCGTGCGTTGCGTGACGGAGAGAATAAATCGAACCAGGATGCAAGGTGTGGGCGTCCCCCATGGTTCGACCGAGCACAGGTACAACAAGGCCTCACACCGCGGCAGTCAAGAATAGAACTACCCAACACAGCGCAACTAAAGACAAGGTAACGCCGCAAACGACAAAACCACAAAACAACAATTGCGAAGAAACACAAAACCACCACGAACACATTCGAGCAAGCGGCGAACAAGAACCGTGTGTATGCATGTTATACGATTTGTCGGTAAGCGCATCTGTCTACACATATGTACGCACATGTGTGTGTGTGTGAGCGGGGGCACGCTCCTTCACATACATGTCTATTCGCACTTACACGATTTCTGATGTATACGTACATACATGCTGACGTGAACTGATCACACACGCATACACGTAAAGATATTTTGCATACTCGTCGCTGCCCGTCGTCTGGGCCCAAGTGGCGGTCTGGAGGATCCCCGTCACCGCCTCGTCGCCGCCCATCGTCTGGGCCTGGGTGGCGGTCTGGCGGCTGCGCTCGCCGTCGCAGCCCCGTCGCCGCCCCGTCGCCGCCAGTCGTCTGGGCGTGGCTGTTGGTCTGGCGGTTCCGTGGTCACCGTCGCCGCCTCGTCGCCGCCTGTCGCCGTCCTAGATTGCACCACACAGACTGCACAACATAGATTGGACCACAATAGAGGCGAAGCGAAGCGAACGCCGGAGTCGCGCGCGTTCCACAAGGGAGACCGCCCGCGCCCATTAGGGCATGGCGTGGAGGCCGTGGCTTCAAAAATGTGATACGTAGGCGAGCTCACGTGATAACCACCACTCTGTGTGCCCGGCCGCCGATAGCCACCGCAGAGCTTGCACCACATAGATTGCACCACACAGGTTGCACCGCATATACTGCACTGCGTGTGTTGCATCACATGGATTGCACAACGCAGATTGCACCACGCACAACGCACAACGTACACTTTTTTTTTCCAAAAAATAAACTCTACCACCTTCCCCCTCCAAACTTATCGATTCCACCCGAATTTGTGCAAAACACATATGATTCTGACCCAAATGTCCATCCTACTTGTGAGTTCATACTATCCCAGCCAAACCTCTATCGGACCCCCTCGGTTTCCTTGCAACAAAATACTATGTGCGCACACTCGTTTATCAGAAGTGGCAAATTTTCACATTTTCAAATTTTTAAAACAATGGCGAACAAAATGTGACGAAGTGCACACGCGCGCGTCGTCGCGTGCGCATGCCAAGATATTTCAAAACCTTCGGTTTCGGAAGGACGTCAAAATCGCGCGTCCAAAAAAATAAAAACACAAATGTTTCGCAACACGGATTTCCAACAAAAGCGTGCGCGTGCTCTTGCGAATTCTGAAAACAACCGTCATGTTTCAACATTTTCACAACATGCTACCAAACGAGTTTCGCGCGCGCATGTCGAAATCATTCGAACGCCCTCGCGCGCGCGTGCTGGGGTGGCACGATCCGTGTCAAATAATACCGTGCGGGCCACTCTCGTGCGTCTGCCGCGCGCGCATTTCGAACTCCTTCCAAAACCTTCATCACCGACGCGAAGACGCCGTCATCGTCGTCGGCGTGATCAGCATCGGCGCCGTCACTGGCTGCCCCGTCCTCGCATTCAGCATCGTCACCAGCACCGTTACTATCATCATCGTGTTTATCGTTGTCGAGGTTGCCATGATACCGCGCCCGCCCAAGTCGCCGACTTGCACTGAAGTGCCCGCTGGGATGTGCCGAGCGGTCAGAACCACCGCGTTCGGGTCGTCGCGCGCGCATGCCAAAATCATTCAAACACCTTCGGTTCCGGAAGGAATACACAATCGAGTGTCCAAAAAACAACTTAAAGACAACAGTGTTTCGCAGCACGGATACTCAACAAAAGCGTGCGCGTGCTCTTGCGAATTCTTGAGAAAATCGTGATGTTTCAACATTTTCATAATATGCTATCAAATGGGTTTCGCGCGCGCATGTCGAAATCGTTCGAACGCCCTTGCGCGCGTGCTGGGGTGGCACGATACGTGTCAAGGAATACCGTGCATGTCACTCTCGCGCGTCTGCCGCGCGCGCAAGACGAATTCCTTCCAAAACCTTCATCACCGACGCGCAGACGCCGTCATTGTCGTCGGCGTGATCAGCATCGGCGCCGTCACGGGCTGCCTCGTCGGCGCTTTCAGCATCGTCACCAGCATCGCTGTTATCATCGAGTTTATCGTTGTCGACGTTGCCATGGTACCGCGCCCGCCCAAGTCGCCGACTCGCACTGAAGTGCCCGCTGGGATGTGCCGAGCGGTCAGCGCCACCGCGTTCGCGTCGGACGCGCCAAACTAGCTGGCCGCTGCGCGCGCGAGCATGCGCGGGCTAGCGCGGCCGCAGGCATGCACCAACCAACACCAAGCATTCATCGCAATTGCTTCCGCATGGGGCTTGCAAACCAAGTTGCGGGCGGGTGGGTGGTATGTTTCGTTTGCGCGAGCAGTGGAGTGGACAACTTCAAGTTGAGCACTAGTGAACTGCACCACACATATTGCACCACATAGATTACATCGCATAGATTGCACCACGTAAATTGTTATTCTCATGTCTAAAAAATGCGAGTCCGCGTGGACCCAAAATGGTGTGGTTAGCAATGTTTAGTGTGAACATTATGGAGAGCATGATAGATGTTGCGCAATCTACGTGATGCAATTGATGTGGGGCAATTCACCCTGCCGAACTTGACGTTGTCAACTCCACTGCCTGCGCAATCGTCCCACCCACCCACCCGCAACTTGGTTTGCAAAACACATGCGGCGGCGATTGCGATGACTGCTCGGCGCTGTCTGGCGCATCGACGCGGCCGCGCTAGCGCGCAGGCTCGCGCGCAGAGCGGCCAGCTAGTCTGCCTTGGTTCATTGGTCGTAGTTCCTTCGTTCCTTGGAGTTGGTTCCTTGGTTCCTTGGTCCTGTTTCATTAGTTCCTATGTCTGCCAGCAGGTCCACGCCATGCAACGCAATGCCCAGCAAGATCTAGAACTGACAAACAATTCCAACCAATATGCCGACCTATATGCCGAGCGAGCAGTGCCGAGCAATGCCGATGCACTAATGCAGTAGAATGTTTTCCCGTTGTTGGGGCCACGCTGGGTTCATTAGATACCTATGCTGTGCTTTGACGACAACGACGACGGCGACGACAACAACGTCAACGCCGATGCCGACGACGACGACGAGGACGAAAACGACGACGAAAACGACGACGACGACGACGACGACGACGACGGCGGCGGCGGCGGCGGCGACGAGGGCGACAGCGGCGACGACCAAGACCACGACCACGACCATGGCAACGACCACGACCACGATCGCGACCACGACCACGACCACGACCACAACCACGACGGCGGTGACGACCACAACGACAAACAACCAGAGGTTTCTGCGGTCTCTGGGTGCCCACAGGTGCCCCTCGAGGCCTCTGGAAGTTTCTGGAGGCCCAAAAGTGTCAGAAGCAAACTCAACTGTCGGCCTTCGGACCTCGACGACGCCGACGACGGCGACGACGACAACGACGGCGAGAACGCCGGCGACGAAGGCCGCAACGACGGCGACGGGCGTCGACGACGACAACGACGACGACGACGCCGACGCCGACGCCGACGCCGACGCCGACGCCGACGCCGACGCCGACGACGACGACGACGACGACGACGCCGACGCCGACGCCGACGCCGACGCCGACGCCGACGACGACGACGACGACGACGACGACGAAAACGAAAACGAAAACGAAGAAAACGACGACGAAAACGACGACGAAAACGACGACGAAAACGACGACGACGACGACGACGACGACGACGACGACGACGACGACGACGACGGCGGCGGCGGCGGCGGCGACGAGGGCGACAGCGGCGACGACCAAGACCACGACCACGACCATGGCAACGACCACGACCACGACCGCGACCACGACCACGACCACGACCACGACCACGACGGCGGTGACGACCACAACGACGAACATCCAGAGGTTTCTGCGGTCTCTGGGTGCCCACAGGTGCCCCTCGAGGCCTCCGGAAGTTTCTGGAGGTCCAAAAGTGTCAGAAGCAAACTGAACTGTCGGCCTTCGGACTTCGACGACGGCGACGGCGCCGACGACAGCGACGGCGAGGACGCCGGCGACGAAGGCCGCAACGACGGCGACGGGCGTCGACGACGACGACGACGACGACCGACGACGACGACGCCGACGACGAACCCGACGCCGACGCCGACGCCGACGCCGACGCCGACGATGACGACGACGACGACGACGACGACGACGACGACGACGACGACGAGGACGACGACGAGGACGACGACGAGGACGGCGACGACGAGGGAAGCCACCTCCTAGCAGCGGCGGCGTCGTCGCCGCCGCGGTCGTATGCACCCTGGCCCGCGCGCGCGATGGGCTCCAGCACGATGACCTGCAGGAGCTCCTAGGGGGCTCCCTCCTCCGCCCCCCCCCCCCTGCCGCAAATTACTTCCTCCCCATCCTACTCCCTCCTCGTGCCCCTCCCCCTCCCGTCCTCCTCCCCTCCTCCTCCCTTCTCCCCCCCCTCCCTCGTCCTCCTCCGCCTCCACCTTCGCCTTATCATCCTGCTCTTCCCCCTCCTCTCGCTCACCCTAATTCTCAGAAGATCGTTGACGCGTCTTGGGTTTACATTGGTCTTCTTCTTCTTCTTCTTCTTCTTCTCCTTCTTATGTTTCTTCTTCTTATTCCTCCTCCTCCTCCTCCTCCTCCTCCGCCTCCTCTCTCCTCCTCCTCCTCCTCCTCCTCCTCCTATTTCTCCTCCCATATCCATGCTATCAGTTCCTGATGTGTGTATGTGCGCGCTGCCAATGGAAAAGACCTGACGGATGAGGGATTGATGTGGCCAGAGCATAATCGTGTGTAGGGCAGCCAAAACGTCCCACGGTCTTGAAGACGCTGGGTGCAGCCCTTCACAGATACCATCACGATCCTCCTCCTCATCCTCATCCTCCACGTCCCCTCCCATTCCATTCCTCCTCCCCCTCCCTCTCCCCCTCCTCCTCTCCTCCTCCTCCTTCCTCATCCTCCTCTCCTCCTCCTTCCTCCTCCTCCACCTCCTCCTCCCCTCCTCCTCCCGCCTCCTCCTCCTCCTCCTCCTCCTCCTCCCCCTCGTCATCATCACCCCCTCATCCTCATCATCCTCATCCTCATCCTCAATATCAGCATCATCATCACAACCACCATCATCATCATCATCAGCATCAGCATCATCATCATCAGCAGCAGCATCATCAGCATCATCATCACCACCATCATCATCATCATCATCATCATCATCATCATCATCATCATCATCGTCATCATCATATTCATATATATTCATACTCATCATCATCATCATCATCATCATCGTCATCATCATCATCATCATCATCATCATCGTCGTCATCGTCATTGTCATCGTCGTCGTCGTCGTCACCGTCACCGTCACCGTCAACGCCATCATCATCATCATCATCATCATCATCATCATGAGCATCATCGTCATGATTATCATCACAGCATCATCATCAGCATCATCATCACCACCACCACCACAACCATCATCATCGTCATCATCAGCAGCATCATCAGCCCCTCGTTTTCGTCATCGTCGTCGTCATCATCATCGTCCTCCTTATCATCGTCATCGTCATCATCATCATCATCATCATCATCATCATCATCATCCTCATCATCATCATCATCATCATCATCATCATCATCCTCATCCTCATCCTCATCCTCCTCATCATCCCCATCATCCCCATCATCCTCATCAGCATCAGGATGATCATGATCATCAGCATCATCAGCATCGTCATCGTCGTTAGCATCAGCATCATCATCTTCACCATCATCATCATCATCATCATCATCATCATCATCATCATCATCATAATCAGCATCATTGTCATCATCGTTAGCATCAGTATCATCATCACATTTACCATCAGTATCGTCATCATTATCATCATCATCATCATCATCGTCAGCATCAAAGTCGTCGCTGTAATCATCATCATCATCATCATCATCATCAGGAGCAGCAGCCACAGCACCATCATCATCATCATCATCATCATCATCATCATCATCATCAGCATCATCATCATCATCAGCATCATCATCATCATCACCGTCATCATCGTCGTCACCGTCAACGTCATCATCATCATCACCATCATCAGCATCACCACCACCACCACCTCCATCATCATCATCAGCAGCATAATCAGCATCATCATCACCCCTCGTTGTCGTCATCGTCGTCATCATCATCCTCATCATCATCAGCATCATCATCATCCTCTTCATCATCATCCCCATCTTCATCATCAGCATCGGCATTATTATGATCATCAGCATCATCATCACCCTCACCATCATTATCATCGTCATCATCATCAGCATAATCGTCGTCGTCGTAATCATCATCTGCAGCATCATCATCATCATCATCATCACCACCATCATCATCATCATCATCATCAGCATCATCATCATCATCATCATCATCATCATCATCATCATCATCATCATCATCATCATCATCATCATCATCATCATCATCGTCGTCACCGTCAACGTCATCATCATCACCACCACCATCATTATCATCATCATCATCATCATCCCTCGCTTCTCTCTCACTCCTACCCCCTCCTCCTTACTGCTGCTCCTCATCCTCATTTTCTTCGCGAGGATCCTTGAAGGTGTCCCTGAAGGCATCCAAGTGGTCTGAGTTCTCGTCCGACACCGACCCCTTCAGGTCCAGGTCCACCGCTGCGGCCATCTTGAGGCCCTCGTAAAGGAAACAACTATATAAACAAAAACTTTTGAAAGCACGCGCGGACTTCTTGGATCTGCACTGAATCCCCTTCCCTGGCGCGCGGAGGGCGCCAAAGGCCCCAGCACCGATCCAAGAAATCCGCGCGGGCCTTCTCGGAGCAGAAATCAAAGCGAATTGAGACAACGGCAGCTCAAAATCTGTCCACGGACCCGTCCCGGGGTCCAGATTCACAAGTTTTCCGAGCTGCGTCCAGCCGTGGCGACGAGGGGGCCCACGAAGGCCAACTGCTGTTGTCTCAGACTCGCTCTCCGCGCAGGGCTCCGAAAGTTTGTGTCAATGCAGTTTTTGGTTCCCTCGACCTCGGCGATGGAGTACCACTCCATCTGGTCAAGCTGCACGCGGAGGGCCTGGTGCAGCGTCTTCAGCAGCCCGGTCGCCTGCCGCAGCATCTCCAGCTGCCGCAGGTGGGGCTCCCCGAACCTGGAGGAGCAACAACAAGTTGGGGCAAGACGCAGCCGGGAAACCAAACGATGCCGATGCCGCTGCTCCCCTGACCTCTCTCAGGGTGCCCTCTGACCAGAGCTTCGAAGTGGATCCAGCCGAGGCGACGAGAGCCTCACAGGAGGCCCAAACAGGCGAAAATGCGGCAAGGGTGCGGCAGGTTCGTATCGTGGTACCACGTGGAGCGTTGAAGAACGATCGGCGGCTCTCCGATCGCCTGGTCGCTCCAGATGGGCCGATTCTGGGCCAAAGCGGCGCTCAACCTTGCACGCACCTGGCCGTGTCGACTCGACGCGAACCTCCCGTGAACTGTGGATGGTCCGCGCGGATGCTGGGGAAACAAAAAGGCACCGACACCGCTACTCTCCAGACCTCTCCCGGGGTGCATTTTGACCAGGATTTCGAGGCGAAACCACAGGTGGCGATGAGGGCCGCCCAAGAGGCCCAAAAAGGGGGAAAACGAGGGAAGGGTAGAGGTATGGGTACCGTTTCCTCCGGTGAGCTTCCTCGGATCGGCGCTGGACCCTCCTCCCTGGCGCGCGGACGCTGAGCTCCTAGTGCTGCAGATTCTCTCACGCTGGGCGCTTTCGCCCAGCGTCGGGCCCCAGGACCACTGAGCTTCGCAACGCAGAATCTCAGGGGGGCCTCCTCCCTGGCGCGCGGAGTGCGAGCCAGTGGCAGCGCCGGAGGCTCCGGAGAGAAGCTTCAGCACAACTCCTCCTCCAATTGCTCCTCCTCCTCCTCCTCCTCCTCCTCCTCCTCCTCCTCCTC